ATTTTATAGTATAAATATATATATATATATCATGCAATAGGTAAATATGCACACAGGAATACAATTGTGGGTGCAGATATAGACATGGAAACATGTTTGTGTTTTGTTCATTTTTCTCTGATAAATGATTGATAGAGTATTGAATAAATATTAATAAATATAAATTATTTTAACAGTTTTTTTCTGGTCCCTACTATTTTTAAGAGTCCTAAATATTAGCCAAGTCATCAAAAGAAATGTTTACTACTACTAACTGTTGTTAGTAGTATATTCCCAGTATATTTGTTGCCTAGCAATAAAATCCCTAGTAAGACAAGTAGTAGTAGATAAAATGGAATATCAGCATATACTCTAACTTTGGTACATAAAATGTAAATGATCCATTAATTATTCTACGTAATGACTGTGTGTTATATATTATATTGGATATGAAGGCTCATGTGCTTAAGCACAGATAGCTTTTAAGACAGATTTTATAACCACTGTATATGCAATAAAATGCAGAAAATTTTCATATTACTACATCTTTAACTTATTTTAAAGTTCAAAAGGAAAATATACACAATGATTCTGGTTTTAACTAGATTTTTTTTAATTTTTTACCTTGGAGGTCAAGATATTTTCATGACAGAAGAACAGAAGAAATATTACAATGCTATGAAAAAGCTGGGATCCAAGAAGCCACAAAAGCCAATTCCCCGGCCAGGGGTAATTATATATGTGTATAAACTATTTATATAAATACATAGAATATATCACATTAAATTTCAAATTATTTTAACTTGGTTTTTTTGCACATCTACATATATAATACTGCTTAAAATACTCCCACTATCTTGTTTTGACTGATTAGACTCTGTTCCATTCTGTATGATAGTATCAAATTTGAGGGTATAGGCAACTACTTTGAAGGCAATAAGATTCACTAAGATGCCCATTCTAGTTTGACTATTGTGTCCTTTGGAAGTCCTGTAATGTTTACAATGCTTAAGTTTTATTGGTCTTGTTCTCTACTGTTTTGTTCAACTTTATAATATCTAATGAGATAGACAATTCTTTTTAAGGAAACAAGAGACATTGTTGATAACCATTGTTGATAACTTTGTACTCTGTTTTACATCATGTGCTATGTCTATCCTTGGTTTTGACTGACAGCTTTGTTTTGCCATATTTGACTTTATTCTCTCCCAAAAAAAAAGTAATAATAACTAAGGAGTAATAAAACCCAAAATGTGTAAATTTTGTTGTAAAAAAGAGAGGGAATAAAAGTGCTCTAAAGGATACAACTGCAAGTGTGTTTAGGGGTGTTAAATAGCTGACCATATTAATGTTCTTGGTTGGATCATTGAACACAACTGTCTGCAGTCTCACTGTTTGAATGTCCACTTTATATGCTTTGATACTGTGATTTGAGCAACTATCTCTAAGATGATAATATGTAATATATTAACTGGTGATTTCTTACTGTTTTTTTTTTTTTTTTGGATTTCTGTATTACTTGTACCCTTACACTGCTTTGTTTTGTTTTGTTTTTTCTCTTTTTCCTTTTAAATAAATTTTTTTAAAAAAAAATACTTAATCATTCTTGTCTTTTACAGAACAAGTTCCAAGGATGTATATTTGATCTCGTAACAAATCAAGCCTTTGACATCACCATCATGGTTCTTATCTGCTCCAATATGGTAACCATGATGGTGGAAAAAGAGGGACAGAGTGCGGAAATTACCAATGTTCTGTACTGGGTAAACGTCGTGTTCATTATCCTGTTCACTGGAGAGTGTGTGCTGAAACTCATCTCCCTCAGACATTACTACTTCACAGTGGGATGGAACATTTTTGATTTTGTGGTTGTGATTCTCTCCATTGTAGGTAAGGACAACTATTAATTAGATGTTAACCTGAAATAAGCCACAGATGCTCAGAGAAGACCCTGAATTGTGAAATGTAAACTTACTTTTAAGTAAATTAGTATAATAAAAGAAGGAGGGAAGCTTATAGCCAAAGCAAAATCCTCCCTGTCAGATTCCTCTGTTCTAGGTGTACCCCTTCCCTGCAGCTTCCGAATAGAGTTAAAGATGTCTCAGATACATGGATGAGCAGGTTTACAACAGCACACTCACAGTAGCTAGATTTGGTAAATGGCCTGTATGTCCATCACCAGTCGAATGAATAAAGACAAATGTAGCTTATGCACACAGCAGAGTACTAATCAACCATAAAAAGAACACTTGCAAGTTATTTGTAGAAAAATAAATACACCTTGAGACCTTAATGCTATATGAAAAAAATCAGATGCAAGCTAAATATCACATGATTTCTCTTATCTGAGAAACCCAAAATATAAATGATTTAAATAGCAAAATAAAATAATTTTAGGATTATACTCATTTATAAATTTTAAATGAGACAGATTATGGAGATCATTTAATGCAAATGAAACTCAAAGATGATAGCAAAAGCCTAGAAAAATTAAAGACCACATAACCTATAACCATAGTATTATTGGCCACATAATTTGTAATAAATATTTTAAATCAAATATTAAAAAGTGATATTATCACCATATACTAAAGTTAGACATAAAAGAGAACTAAAATTTAGGTAGTGATTTCATACTAACAAGAAAAAGAAGAATGGAATTAAATAGAAAAATAATAATCCTTCTAATACTATGTTTTTTTAAATAATTTTGACCAATGCAGTTAAATATGAAAACAAGCAGTACATATATTATAATAAGAGAGCAAATGATCTTTATCTTCACTACATTATGACATTAGTTTAAAGAAAAAAGAATCAACCAAAAATAAATTCAATTGTAATTCTGAAAGGCAGATTTTTTTTAAAATTACATGTACCAATATTAATAACGGGTATATGGGGAAAAGGCAATATTGGGAAAAATATCTCATTAAATTGCAATATAAGTAAGACAAACCATCTATTAACAACTAATATATAAGAGTTCTATTAAAAAAGTAAAAGACAAAAATGACTGAAATAAGTGAAAAACTAGAGTAATGAGAGATGGCTTATGTCTTAGTTACTTTATGCTCGTTGCTGAGACAAAATACCTGATGCCCAAGTTGGAAAAGGAAAGGTTTATTTCTTACAGTGTTTGGAGGTTTCAGTCCACACTCAGTTGGCTCCAAGGCAGGCGGGCATGGCTGGGCCGCAGTTCATGGAGGCTGCAAACAGCAAGCTTGAACCAGCAAAGAGCAAGACACACCTTCTTCCTGCCATTACATCACATCCTGGCTCCACCCCTATGTGGGTGTAGCACTGACACCATCAAACCAAGCACTATACAGTGAACCATCACAATTGAACAATGCAAACTCATGAGGGCTGGGGGATACAGATATAAACCATGACAGTTTATCATATTCAATATGTAGACTACTATAAGACTATTTTAACACTGATGATTACATAACATTACTTAAAAATAAAAGGTCAAACAGATTGCTGAAATTTAAATTACAGGCCAAGCATGGTGGCACACTCCTGTAATACCAGGACTGGCAAGCCTGAGGCAGGAGGATCCTTGCAAGTGTGAGACCAACTTGGGCCACAAAATGAGCCCAAGGCCAGCCTGAACTGTACGGCAAGACCCTGTCTCAAAAAAACAAAAACAAAAAATAAAACTTAAGCTACAATATATACAGAATTACTAATTTACTCAGTAAAAAGATCACATGATTCAAATGTTACAGATTTTTAAAAAATGAAGTCAAGAGGAAAATATGTGTTAATAAATTTATATTCACAAACTTGAATAGCTGTTACAGTTCATGGCACAAATCTAAATCTGAATCCAAAAAGAAAATGGCAGCATAGGATATGATTGTGTAAAATTCAAAATATTAAATGAGAGAAAACTGACTATACAAAAAATATGTATTTCAACAAGCGCAAATATGAAATATGAAAATTTTATGCAGTGTTTAAGGCTAACAGTGGCTCAATACTCTTAATAGAAAAAGTTTGTTAGATCAGTAACAATATAGGAAATGTTCTTAAAGAAAAATAAGCAAATAAAGAAAAATAAGCAAAAAAAGAAAAGTTTAAAGCAACTTAAAATATTCAACAAACTAGAAAAATACATATTATTTTTTCTAAAAAAGCAAATTAATTATAATAGATTGATTTAGATGTTGTAAACATTTTCTTTTAAAGTATAGTACTGGTGAAGTGAACACAGTGAAAGAGCACTTATAAACACTGCTATTCAAGTGTGGATTTGAGTAGATTATCTGGAGATAGGCAATACATCAAAAATTTTGAATATATTGTATGATTCAGCTTCTATTTAGATATTATCAAAACACATACTCATGCAAATCACAAAATGTGATGAGATACCCATTTTAAATAAAAAAAAATTAGCAATAAACCATAATTGCTATTCTCCAATATGTGATTTTTAGACAGGATATTGTACCACTACAAGAATTGTTATTTGTGTCGGAAATGTGTGATATATGACACAATGACTAAAACATGTTACAAAGAAAAGCGACAAAATCATGTGTAACGGTCCTGTGCATACACACATGTATTATCTTGCATAGAAGAATATCTAAGTGACAGTGAAATATTGAATGTTAGTTCACTATTACTAGTTGTATTTGAGGTGATACATGATTTCTATTTTGGCACGTATTCCTTGAATTTTCTACATGAGCAGACCTTATCCTTATAATCATAAAATACTATACTCTGAAGGGGAAAAGAGGTGTGTGAACTTAATAATAGGAAATTTCTTACAATAGTAAGTCTATGAATTTTCATTTAGAATTGCTCAAATTGTTAACGTTAAGAAATTGAAGTCAGTATAATTTAATAGCCTTGAATTCATAAGTGATAAGATGGCAGAAAACAATTGGAATTATGATTTTCAACAGGAGAATATTTCAATGTCTCCTTTTTCTCCCCCTTTTTCTTCATATAGGTATGTTTCTCGCGGACATGATAGAGAAGTATTTCGTGTCCCCTACCCTGTTCCGAGTGATCCGTCTGGCCAGGATAGGCAGAATCCTTCGCCTGATCAAAGGAGCCAAGGGGATCCGCACGCTGCTCTTTGCTTTGATGATGTCCCTTCCTGCCTTGTTTAACATCGGCCTCCTGCTCTTCCTGGTCATGTTCATCTACGCCATCTTTGGAATGTCCAACTTTGCCTATGTTAAGAAGGAAGCTGGAATTAATGACATGTTCAACTTCGAGACATTTGGCAACAGCATGATCTGCCTGTTCCAAATTACCACCTCTGCTGGTTGGGACGGACTGCTGGCACCCATTCTCAACAGCGGACCTCCAGACTGTGACCCTCACAAAGTTCATCCAGGAAGTCTAACTGAAGGAGATTGTGGGAACCCATCTGTTGGGATTTTCTATTTTGTCAGTTACATCATCATTTCCTTCCTGGTGGTGGTGAACATGTACATCGCTGTCATCCTTGAGAACTTCAGTGTTGCCACTGAAGAGAGTACCGAACCCCTGAGTGAGGATGACTTTGAGATGTTCTATGAGGTCTGGGAGAAGTTTGACCCTGATGCAACTCAGTTTATAGAATACAGCAAGCTCTCGGATTTTGCGGCTGCCCTAGATCCCCCTCTTCTCATAGCAAAACCTAACAAAGTCCAGCTCATTGCCATGGACTTGCCCATGGTCAGTGGAGACCGGATCCACTGCCTGGACATCTTATTTGCTTTTACAAAGCGGGTTTTGGGTGAAGGTGGGGAGATGGACTCTCTTCGTTCACAGATGGAAGAAAGGTTCATGTCTGCAAATCCTTCTAAAGTGTCCTATGAACCTATCACAACTACACTGAAAAGAAAGCAAGAGGATGTGTCTGCTACTGTCATTCAGCGTGCTTACAGACATTACCGCTTACGGAAAAATGTCAAAAATTTATCAAGTATCTACATAAAAGATGGAGACAGAGATGGTGACTTGCCTGATAAAAAAGAAATAGCTTTTGAGAATGTTAATGGGAACTGCAGCCCAGAAAAAACAGATGCAACTCCATCTACCATCTCGCCACCTTCATATGATAGTGTGACAAAGCCAGACCAAGAGAAATATGAAACAGACGAAACAGAGAAGGAAGACAAAGGGAAAGATGGCAAGGAAAGCAAAAAATAGAGCTTCATTTTTTACATATTGTTTACAGCCTGTGAAGGTGATTTATTTGTGTTAATAAGACTCATTTTAAGGAGGTCTATGCCAAACACTTTTTATCAAAATAGTCTCAAAGGCAGTGCCGTCAGTAGGTATGATTCTTTACGACACAGGAGCAGCATTAGCAGATGGCTATTTTTGCATCGGTAAATGATTCTGTAAGAATCATCAGAGTATCTCTGTAAGGATTGTTGATTGCAGCAAGCAAAGGTGATTCAATTTTTTAATAAATCAGAAGACCATGTAGACAATTTTCACATCTGCCTTTTTATCTTTTCACTAGATTCAAATTACATTTCCTCTGTAAATACAGGAACCCCCTACACACACTCCACAAACACACATAGGAAAATATCTACTATTTAGAAATCATTAAAAGTATTTTGCCTTGGCTTTGCAATGAATTTCCTGATAAAAGTAATGGACATTAGTAATGTTAACTAGTAAAGTTAAAAATCTTGTTATTAGTGAGCTACAATTACTTATCTATGACGCGAGGTCATTCTATATTTTGAGGTGCTTAAATTCATTCTAACAATCTATTCAAACCAATTTGTATGTGCCTATAAAATGCCTTGGGATTAAAAAACAGATGTAGGCTATTAAATTCAACATATGTTTTTCCTTTACCCGGACTCTCATCCATCTTGACTCACAAACATTGCATGTCATCTCCTGTGTTGTGTTGGGTTGTGTTGTGTCTTGTTTTGTTTTGTTTTTAGTGGGCTCTCACTGTGTTACTCAGGCTGTTCTTGAACCCCTGGGCTCAAGCAATCCTCCCCAAACATCCTCCTGAGCAGCTGGGGCTACAGGAGGATGTCACCATTCCTCGCTAGTCTATCTTTTATATGTTCCACTTCGTTCCTACCCTAACCTCAGAACTTTAAACATTATTCTAACTATTTATCACATTCCTCCTAAAAAATATAAAGATACTTGAGGAAAAAGCAACCAAAAAATTCTTTTGTTTATATAATGTAACCCTAACCTGTTCTCCCTCGCAATCCTGATAATGGCCAACTCTTTTGTCATTTTCTGTTTTCTTTCTTATGAAATTTGTTTAGTTATCATTTATCACTAAGTATATTTGATATTTCCCTTCAATTAAACAGTTCCTTATATTCAATTAGCTATTTGATAGCACAGTATGTGTTTGAGGACCCAATGGCTTAGGCGTGGTATTTAGTGCATCACTTACACACTATCCTAAATGTGTTTGTCAAGCTTTCACGTGATAATACGAGGCAGGCCTTTAACACCTGCTTGCCAGGTGTTTCACATGAATGAATTGCATTCAGATACTGATTCTAATGAAATTTCTCTCTTGCTACTAGCCCACACTCTTAAATTTTAGAAGTAATCATTTTGGACCTCTGTAATTCCATCTACAAAATAAAGAGGATGTCACTTTTTTCTTAAGATTCTATGACATGAAGTATATTTTTTCATTAGTCAATAAATTAGCCTGGGCTTATAACTTTAAGAACACAATACTCATTTTATTCTAGTTGTAATCATTCTACTAATGATTGGATATCCAGTTTTCTTAAAAAGCCCTTCAGCTGGTGCAGTGGCACACACCTAAAATTCTAGCTCATCAGGAGGCCAAGACCAGAGGATCACAAATTCAAGGCCAGCCAGGTAACTTAGCAAGACCTCGTCTCAAAATAAAAAGAGCTGAGGATCTAGCTCAGTGATAGAGAGGTTCAAGAACTATTGATAGAGGAGAGAAAAGAGTCCTTGTTAATAACAATTTAAAATAAATGCTCATGGTACATTTTCTCATGAGTTTATTCCAGGAACATGAAATCATTTTTCTATCACCTTAACTATGCATAGGCAAAAATTGAGTTTCCCAAGTAAACAATGGATTTATTTAGAAGAGTTTTGAGGAAATTTTTGAAGCAAATATGTAAAGCATACTTCATCAATTTGCTTTTTAAACTTAAAGCATAACATAAATTATATATATACTGGTACCAAAGATCGAACCCACCATCATGTGCTTTCCAAGCACATGCTTGTGATGCTGAGCTGTATCCCTGGCTTTTTACATAAATAATTAAAACACATATTTTTGTTGTTTTGTCCACTTGAGAAGCTTTAAACATGCCTAGAGAGGTGAATTCATATGTGTAGAGAATGAGAGTCAAAGAAAGGGAAAAACTTAAGAAACACAGCCATAAGAAGAAAAATAAAAAAGAAAGATATTTCCACAGAACTTTATGTCTGGAATGTTTTTAAATTTTGATATATTTTACAACATCTATACAGAAATTATTAGTTCTAGACATTTATCTTAAGGTTCCTAGGAAATTAAATCTAGGACCAAAGATTCTTTACATCTATGCTTAATCATTCTTCTTAGGTTAGTCAAACCAATTGTTAATTTAATATGAAAGGTACCATGAAGTGTTTAATTATATTACAAAGCATTGCACTGCATACCTTATAATGCTGTTGAAAATAGTTTGGATGATTTAATTACGTAACCATATAAAATATATTACTTTTGTAAGATTTTTAACACATTTAAGAACTTGTTATCACTTTAAATTTGATTCAATTCATCTTCATTATTATAAACCATATAAATATAACTGCATTATGAATTTTTATATGATGCAGTATCAAAAGATGTTTAGTATGTATATTTGTCTGTGGATTACTATTAATATTTTTACACTGCCTGACTTTCATGTAAAATAAAAATATTAGCAACCAGTTCCCCAACACAGTTTTTTCTTAGGAGTTAAAACAATCAATTACAAAATTGTTCTTTTTCCTATTTCCTACTGAACCTGTTTCTTGCTGACCCTATAATTTCATAAAATTAAAATATGTTTAGCTTTTATAGATATACTTTTGTTCCAGAAGTGATTGCTTCCAATATTTTATCAATTAAAAACAATATTTGGCATTGAGTTCATTAAGTACTTTGAAGTAAAATTAGCCATCTCTTTTCATGTGGGTTGGTTGCTGTTTGTACTAACTGGTAGATACCATTCTTCTGAAGGAACTGTCATACTAATATAGAAATTCTTTCACCAAATGCTTTAGAATGGCAGTTACACTGCACAACTTAAATTAGGATAAGCTAGAATCAAACAGATTTGAACACAAACTGATACACACAGTTGTATGATATGGTGGAATCTCTTTTTACCTCTTTCTGTCTGTGGTCTACTTTGCAAAATGTGTAAGTGACTAAACACTAAATGTTGAAAATCTCAACCCAAAATGTTTAGCATGATTTTATAGAATTTTGATAGCTTTATTTAAAAGCCTAAAAACAAAATGTATATGTAAATATGCCATCCATAATAGCAATTTCAGAGAAATGTTAAAGAAAATAATGAAAACAGGGCTAAATTAAAAGTTAAATTAGGATAGCCCAGTAATTGGCCAGCTGTATGATCTATGTATAGAGGCCAACAATTTTTAAAATACCTGTAGCTCATTATGTTATATTGTTGAGGAAAACAAACAAGATTTGTTTAATGAAAATAAGTGAATAGCCATGAATATAACAATGCTGTTTACATAGAATTCTTTTCAAATTTCATAGATCTCTGAATGCTCAAAATGTGTTTGTCAGAAATTACACTGTAGCTACACTTGAGACTTACACATTGTAATAGAATATAACAATAAAATTCATAAAAATGAGTTGTGTTTGCATGCATCTTTTTTGTTTCATGGAGAATAGCCTTTACGGATAAATCCAGTGTATCTATAATAGAAGCTAATAGTCTTTTTTCCTTTTTTAAAAAAGATCAACAATTTAAAGTATCTTCCATAAGAAGACATTTGGATAAGAAAGATGTGGTTAGTGAACATAATGACCCAAAGCAATTACATTAAATCCACAATAGAGTTTGTGCAGGAACAGAAAATTGAAACAGACAGTGAAAGTGCACAAGCATTTATCCACACAATGATAAATACTTTTTATGGTAATAAAACTGATGTACATATATGTGTAGCATACACATCG